ATTTGAAGGCAGTCAGACTTGATTTAATTCTTTCTTACTACAAATCTCATTTCAGAGAATGATTAACGGGAGAAGCGACATAAATGGCAAAGTCTTGATCAAGGGAGATGCTGTCAGGGTACCATCTAGATAAATTAAGAAAAGAATGCTCAGGTTTCTGTGAAAGAAGACTAATGACATTAAGTCAAGATGAAATAGAAAGGAGCAGCATTGCAGGCTGAAAATCATAAAAGACCAGCCTGCCCTGACAGGAAACCCTGAGAAATTTCCTGAACTGAAAAGTAACTGGAAATGCTAAGGAATGACTTTCTGTAAGTGCCAGGTCTTGAAGTTACTCTGGACTGAAGATGACCCAGGCACCAAATTTGGACCTGTCAAGACAAGTGAAAGAATGTCCTGGAAGCATGTGAAACTGCAGCTGTTACTAGCAGCTCTACACACTGAAGGTGTTCTGCATCTCATGTGCTCACTCTGCTCAGTGGGGATCAGTGCCTTCACTTAAATCTGAAACACTCCCATCTGGAAGCAAGCAGACAGTGGATAAAAGGAGAGTGTGAAACCTACAGCCAGTAAATGTTTATGTAATTCGGAGAACCTGTTTACAAGAAAGCAGGAATGGCAGTCTCCTAGAAGGAGTGGTGGCCCTAGCTGAAGTCATGGGGAAACTTTACAAGCAAGCTGAATGTATTTGTACAAAGAGAGATTTCTCAGAAGGTTAAGATTTGTATATAGGTATACCAAAAAAGGATTTTTAAAAAGTAAGTAAAAGAACCCCAGAACACTATAGTTCAGTGGTTAAAAGTGTACTCCTGGAAATCTAGAGTGTTCAAACCAAAACAAAATGTCCCCTTTCTCAGAAAACGTTGAATTGTTGTTTAAGTATTGACTTAGTCTGCTCAGAAACACTAGTATTCCTAACTAAAGGAGCAGATCTTCCATTGGAAGTCTCCTAGCTTCAGATTTAGATTATAGTATAGAGCAGCACTTCTGCAGCCAAGCACTTAGTGTGATCGGTACTAAAACTGTATGAGATTAGCTAATGTACTTTTCTGTGATGTGCAAAGTGAATGCCAGGACGCAGCATTGTACCTGACTGCAGTAGCATGAAGTTATGCTTCAACAGCATTCCATTGTAACGTAGGATTTTGAAGGCAGGGAAGCAGTCTCTGGAGTGTTGCACATCAGTAAGAAATTATTTTTGAAAGTAGAAAATAAAGAGTTTGAACTGATGTTTAGAACAAATAAATGGGAGCAGCAAAACTTTCAGTATTAGTATTACACCCAGCCATATAACAATAACTAAATGAAGCATGTATTTAAAATTTGGTGAGAAGCTTTTGTACATTTTAGTTCTGTTTGGCTCAGTGGGTGTGCTGCACTTTAGACTTCAGTCTCCAGGGCTGTCAATCCAACAACTTTCACAAGCACTATATTCACTTAAAAGCTGAAAAAGAAAAATAGAAGGGGATGATGTTAATAGCACTTAGCACTTATATAGCTTTTTCTTTCCTAAAAGTGCAGTGCAAACATGAGGTAGTTAACAAGCGCTTTGTCTTGGAGATGCAGATGTGTATCTAAACAACCCTTAAGCACAGAGAATACAGACGTGTAAGTCCAACCTATGCCCCATTGCACATTTTCAAGGTTAAATAGCGCAAAGTGGCATTTATGGTATCATTTCTCCCTGTAGTGGGTCAATGATCCCAGCTTGTGGAAAGCAACACTGTGTTATTGCATGCAGGGCTCCTTCTTCATTGTGTGAAGAACTTACTGTAGTAATTTCAGGTTTTATTTGATGAAGTGCCTGCTATAGGAAACCACTGGCAAGTCATACAAAGGGGTGTGTTGTTTGAGTAGAGTCAAAATATGTAGTTACGTTGCACAGACACACCAGTTATTCAGACTACCAACAGCCTCTGCAGCACTTCTGCTATGCCTGCTTCTCTCCATCAGCTCCAGCATCTACCCGCCTTGTATTAGGTATTATGAATATGGCCCACAGAGTCTTGTACTCTTGGACAGATAGATATCCATCTAATCTGCTTGCTTAGAAAGTTCAAAGTTTTACAAGGAGAGAACCAGGAAAGAGAGGTTCAGCTGGCACTGAGTGCAGTGAAATTCTTTTGAGGAGGAGAAGGGACAGACTGGAAGGTAAAACTACAAGCCTCAGACTGAACATTTCTCTAGAAATGAGGAAGAAAAGTGTTGGCAGCTATGGTGTGTTTTCAGTGTGCTTTTTTTCTGGTTAAAGTAAAAGTTCGGTGGTGTTTGCAAAGCTGGAAGTAGACTCATAAGTCAATTTGATAATTAAAGAGTTCTTCCGAGCCCTTGAACTACCAAGGGCTATCAGTGCAAATCAGCCAGGATTCAGAGCAAAGTCTACTGGGGGAATTGGCCATTTCACTCTCCTCTTCATTCTTAGGCCATTATGACTTTAGGATGGCAAATCTGTCAACTTTGCAATTTCCTCCAGTAATAGAGTTTTGGCAGAAGCTGACGCCTGTGCTGTATTGTACTCATGCACAGTTAGGTAACCAATGCATGCTCCATTTAAGAGAGGCACAGAAAGCTTCTCAAAGTTACTGCATTATAGTCTGTCTCTCTGTGCTGAGCTCAGCTGCTGAGAGCAGAGGAGGTGTGAAAAGGCTTGTTAATAAAAGTCTGTTTAGATTTCATTACTGTGAGCAGCCAAATCAAGACAATACAGATCTTGCCAACCCTCTGAGAATTTCAGTCCTCTCTGGAAACAGTTCCTTTCCTGCACTGGATGCCTTTCCCAATTGAACCTTTATGCAATGTAAGCAGAGCTCTCCTCTACTGCCTTTGAAGAATAGAGAACAGAGACTCCCTTATAATTGTATTGACTGGGAAAGAGGAAAGAAGGAGGGGGTATCTTGTTTCTCCCACTCACACACTGAAGAAAAAGCATCCAACTCAGCCTTCTGTTTTTCCATTTTGTTTTTAATTCTAAAAGGGGAACTCCTTTGAGTTGCAGGAGAAACAAAGGTGACTGGCAGTGGAGGATGGACTGGATGTGGCAATCTCTCAGACTGTTGTTGTAGAAATGATGAAAGCACTGAGAAAGGGCATAACTAACTGATGGATTCATGGGACAGGCAATTGTGGGTTGGTTATGTTCATAGTTCGGGTTTGGGGAAACTACGTCTTATCAATCTCTAGCCTGGCTTTTGCATTGTGCCAAAAGCATCTTATTGACTACATCTAGAGAAATCTCTTACCAAGGCTAACTGGAAGAGAGCATGCATTTAACCACAAAGAACTTGGAAAAATACTAATTTCTTCTTCAGAAGAGTTCTGGCCTCTGAGCAGTGAAATAAAACTGAGCATTTCTGAAAGAATGGTGTAGTTACAGAGGTATCTTTGGCTACATGACCAGCCCTAGTCTTTAACCAATTTGAGGACTTCAGTGATGTTTTTCAGATCACTGTGAAAGAAAAATCCTAACCTGTGGCAGACTTGGCATGTGGTGTGGACAGGCCTTTTTTCCCCCAGAAGATTAAACTTCTCCACTTTAATCACTGTGATTTCCTTTGTTGTGGTCTTTTTAATGTTCTGCAAGTTTTACTTAGATATTTATTGAAGTTTTTTAATGCTTAAGTCTTGATGAAAGAAGATACAGGTCTCCTAGCCATAAATGCTGCTCTTCCTCTCTGAATTGGCATAAACAATAACCTGAATATACTGAATATATACATACAGATGTCAAAACCCCACTAGTAATAAGTGACATGAAATGATTGCTGGGTCAGTCCTGTTCACCATATATTTCACTGTGTTACACTTTCATTATAAATTCAGAGTAAATTACAAAGGTTAGTATAATCTTATTTCACTTTTTTTTTTTTTTTCCGCTTGCCCACTTGTATCTCCTAAATAAGTTTTAAATTTTACATGATTAATGACCTAACTTAATCGAAAGGAAAATTCTTTGGAGGAGAACATGCTTAAATAGCACATTGCCATACACATATTTTGCATCATTACTGAGTGATAACATAATACAGTTAATGAGTACCTTTCTCCCTAGTATAAATTCTTTGTCATCAGGAGCAGATTTTAGTCCTTTTTATCTTGTGTTATGTTCAATGCTTGCAGTACCTAGCCCCATCAGGAGATCCAGAAGGCTGATATTTCATTTATTCCATCACTGCAATCTTTGCTGTAGAGTTACTTAACAAAAACATTTAGTTATATGAAGTGTGTAGTGGTGTAGTCACTGAAGTCAATATGACTTTCACAATTTATTTCAGTCAGGACCGTGTTGACTGTGACTGTGTCACCCCAGTAAAAGATGAACACTGTACCCTTTTAAATAATGTATTGCACCTATATTTTTAAGAGATCACTTGTAAAAAATACCCTGGAAAAGGAGGGAAAGAGAGATGTGCCTATTATTGCAAAACTTACCTTCTGAATTCTGTTTCTGCTTACAAGAGAAAAATGCAGAATGCGACATGTGTGCTGTACAGTAATATTTATTCAAACTGTCTTCTGATACATTGCCTTTCTGATGCTACATGGTGTTCTCCTTCACTATTTCCCAGCATGATGGCTAATGTCCTGCTCTGAAAATTATCCATTAAAATTTTATCAATTTTGTGTTTTGGTGAGACAGTATGAGGAAATGCCATTGGAAAATTAGATTCTTCTTTGACATCAGGCGCCCAGTCAGCAATCCAATCCCATGTGTTTCTACTGAGACATTAGGATTTGATATAATTTTGGGCAGAAAACATTTTAAAATGAAACAATTGAATTTTCTAGATGGTCTTGGGGACCACTTAGTTTAAGAGAATACACTTCCAAATCAAAAGCCTTTCAATCATTCTAAATATTATTTGGATGATATTTGCTTTATGTGTAGTAGCAGTTTGAATTTGTAATGAATGTTTGACTGGCTCGTGCTCACATAGATGATGTATGAAATTATTATTTCATATTTTTCTCGTGTTTGCATTGCAAGTGACATCTGGCTGACAGGAACTTGGAGAAATGGGATATGAAGTGAATGCTGCAGTTACCACAGTATCATATTTATCAAAAGGCTTAAGGTTGATCTGTCTTTGTTTAACATATGAAACTCATGGCAATGAATAAGAAACAGCACTTTTTTTTTTTTTTTTAACTGAGCTGCTTAGAAAATTAAGATAGATGAAGAAAAAAAGTTAATGATATTCTGTATTCTGTTAATTGAATTAATTCATGTAGACAATCATGCATACTGGCTGAAAAACAGCTTTCAACTTGTTTGGAGGTTTTTTTTGCTCTTATACCTTTAAATTTTGGTTAATGTTATATAATTCATGCACACTATATCACAGAGATAGGGAAGTCTGGAATAAGCTACTATAGCAGAGTGACACAGTTCTTTTTAAACTTCAAGTCTTCAGCTACACAGGTCTCAGGGTGGGTTTAATTCTAATTGCATTATAACTTTGAAATATACCTGTTGAAATACTGTCTTCAACCAAACTCTCACCCTAACACTTTTTCATTGAGCTCTTGTTTCACTTGTCTAATGGTAAATTGTATCTTGATAGAATATAATGCAGGTTTTAAAAATTATAATATTATTTTACTGTTCAAAATGTGGTATGTACATTTATGATTTTATTTAGAAATATGACTTCAGCCTTTAGAAAGGCATTTTCAAAATGCACATTGTTTGCGAGGAAGCTCTGCCATAGTGTTCCAGAACAATGACATAAGTGATACAGTGAAGTGTCCAGCTTCTGGCCATGCCTTGGAAGGGGAGAGGAATTGACTGTATTACTCTGACTAGAAGGGTCTCTTGGACACTCTTTGTCACTGTCTTGATACCATTCACCCTTACTGGTTGGTAAGACTGTGGACTCTGTGTGAAGAAAAAACACCCCTACAGAAGTCCTGCATTATTTCCCAACTATCCTAGGAAGGAAGAAACCTGGGGGCTGTTATACTTATGTATGTGGAATTCAGAAGAGAAAAGCAAGAAGAGGTTGTATGGAGATGGTGGGGTGGGTAGGAGAGACTGGGAGGGGAAAAGTCTGCATAAGAGAGACAGATGTCAGACTACGTAATCCAAAAACAATTGCATCTGTACTGCTGCCAAGTGATTTTCTGATCTACGAAGTCATCAAGCTGAGAGCACTCAGCATCTTCCAGGACCTGGACCCTTTCTTTTAAACAAATATAAAATCTAGCTTTGTGGTCCAGTTCACAGGAAGAAAGAACTAATAGTGATTTTACTTTAGGTCTGCAATTGCAAAGTCTAGTTGGGAAACTTAACAAAAACCCCCAAACCAAACCAAACAAAAAAAATAAAGGTGGGACAAGAAAGCATTTCAAAGTTGTTCAGAGAGGAAAATTCTGTTCCCCTAAGTGACCCTCAAGAGGAGTCCATCTATTTATTGGTGATGTAGGGAATTTGCCTGTCCTCCTTGGCTAGACATCATCAGTGTGATTACCCTCCACTCTACATTTCTCCCTGCTTTTGCAAACTTCTCCAGTCAATAAAGAGACTTATCCATTGCCATACTTGCCTCTCCTTGCAGCCATGAACTTTTTTTTTTTTGATAGGGGAAAAACAATACGTGTTCCGAGCGTAGCAATGACAGGAACAGGCCTGATCAGAAAAGCAAAAGGGATGATACTGTAGCACAGTTTGCCATTGAGGCTGGTTTCTGGAGCTCTGCGTAGTAATTCTTTCAACAGTTCTTTAACCATGCAGAGTGCATATATGATTCATTGGATTATGCATTCCACTTTCAGATGAAGATCAAAGTAGTTGCCTTGCATTGGTTTAGGATGTTGTGACAAAGAACTTGGCATGTGGGGAACACAAGGTACCTCATCATTTAAAAAAAATACACAGTAGGTGCTTTTGGAGCCTTTCTGAATGGGTCCTATTCACTGTTGCAATTCCCATGTGCTCTCATGGTTTGTTGTAAAGGGAGTACTAGATAACATAGTCTGCTTACCTGTTTTCCATGTTGTCATTTACTCATTTGAACATGACACCTTTTCTTGGGTTCCTCTAAAGCTCACTGATCACTGGTCACTGGTGTCAGTCGTTCTTAAAACATATTCCTTTGTCCTTCTGCAATGAATGTCTCCAAACTCTCCTTGTCTCTTTCAGTTGAGGTGGGCCAGTCCCCATGTCTCAAACTTTTACTCAGCGTGTCTTTTCTTACAAACAGAATGGTTCACGTATGAAGAACCTTGAACTACTTTTAAACAAGTCTGCAAGTGCTACTGCCTCCTGTTGAGCTAAAATCACGTAAGTCCTCAATTTGTTTTTTCACTTCCATTCAGCTGTGTTGTATTATGCTATATAGTATTTCTGTCTCTACTTTGTGATATATGAACAAAGCTGTTCTAGATTCTTAGTCAATGTTATTTATGCTCTGTGATAATGTATATTACGCTTGTATTTGTCTACTTCTCTGTCTGTCTAGCCACACACTCAGATTTTATCAGCTTCTGGTTAAGACTGCTAGACTTCCTGTATGCCAACACAAACAAAAAGCAAGGAAATAAGTGGTTAAGATATTCAACACCCCATTTACGCTACTGTCATCAGCTTTCTTTCTCAATCTCAACTGCCTCACTTCTAACATTCACAGTCTGCACACTTCCAACTTCATCCTGATTACATTAGTTTTCTTCTGTTTACTACTCAAGGCAATATTTTTTTGGACTGCTGCATGATTTTACACTATCTTGAGTATTTCTACCCCAAAGTGAGACATCATCGTTAATTAAAAATTAAAGAAAGTCTGTAGATCATGGTAATTTGCTACATTGCAGGTTCTAAGACTGAAGGAAAACTACCTAGCTGTAGAACTGACAGTGATAAGACTGAAGATACACGATCTGCATTCTTTGTACTGAGATATTTTGGTAGAAGGTTTTGGAATTACACTTTCAAAAGTTCTGCTAGAATGGATTTTCAAAGCTATTTATGGGCTGAAAAGTCCAGTGGGCAATTTCTAACATTTTTAATCCTTTTATTTCATACTTCTGTTATTTCATCATTAGAAATCTGTCACTAAACTTAGACATGATATTTTCCATTGCACTTACTGTTTTCTGGCTGTGTTTAGTCTTTCAGACCTGTACCTTACATTTTAGTATTATGATAATAACTATGCTGCTGGTCCAATCAGCCGGTGTCTTACTTGACCTTCAGTTAAGATTTCAGTTTCTCTTTACAATTTTAATATGGTCATTTATGCTTGGTGTAATATTGGAATTTCTATCAAAGCAGTGAGCAATGGATCATCTTTTTAAGAGCTGAGGATCTGGGAAACACTTAATTGCATTCTTTAATATTGTCCTTTGTGTGTTGAGTAGCGAAGCCATGCTGCTTCTCAATAGTTTTCATTTACAGTCTATTTCACAGAACAAGGATGTGTCAGACTTCCTCTATTGCTCTTTTGAACCTTCCTCAGCCTGTGGGGAAAGTCAGATTGGTCAAAGGTCTGATCCCTTTGAAAGTCGGATCTTGGCACTTTCTTCTGTGTGGGTGAAGATGAAAGTGAATGAATGACACTCAATATAAATAACTTTTCCTTTTTGAGAGAAGACTGGTAGCACCTACATGTACAGATATTCTACAGGAACTGAGTTCTCTAGACTATATTAATGTCAGTCAAAGTACATGCAGGTGAATTTTGAGGCATTTTTTAGGAGTCGTGTATATATAACAAGAGCCAGAGAAAAAGTATTCACTTTTTATCTAAAGACTAAAACCAATATTAGCTGTGATAGACTGATGAACTGCCTGAGATATTTCAATACAATAGCAGACACTGAATATTTTTTTAAAAAATTTGGTTGACAGAAGGCAGCAGGAAGAGGAGAAAAAAAAGCATATGGACATAAGCATATAGGCAAAGCCACAAACCTCAGATTTTTTTCCCTCCTCCCTTTTCTTCCCCATTTTATTCTCAGTTCTTGCTTCTAGAAGAGTCTTCAGATAAACAGCAATCCTGAGGCATGGTACCATAATGACAGAAATGCTTCAAAGAGGGTGGAATGGAAAAGAAAGGGGAGATCCCATAGGGCATCTTGTACAATGCTGATAAATAAAGTCATATTTTGTAGTTCACACTCGGTGTTCTTACATTCAGAAAAAGTATAATTGAGACCAATTCCCTAACTGACAAGAGTCCATTTAAAGCTGAATTACAATTGACAATGAAACATTTTAAAGAAAACTAGTCCTTTCTTTGTTAACTTTGTTTTTCTCTGTTATGCCAAAGGCAATATAAAGATGTGGAAAGAGAGGGAAAGAAGGAAAAATTACGCTCTGCTCCAGGAAAAAAAAAAAAAAAGTATTCATTCTGCCAAATGAGGACCCCAAAGTACAGGCACTGAGAAGAATTTGAACCTTACAATATTTGGCGTTTTCCTCTTGCATTCCACTTGTTTTCTATCACTTTCTTCTCCCTTTCCCTTGCCATGCTGTCTCACATCAGACACTCATGGCCCAGTTCAAATCCACTTTAAACCTTAGTTGCAGCACTCATTTTACTTCAGCTTACCTTCACAAAGTTTCAGGGTAGTTTATAAAAGAATGTTTCCTGCTTGAAACATTGCTTTCACTAATGACAGTGTATTAGAAGATATTTGTCTTCCTAGATTAGAAGAGTTTCAGTTCTTGTCCATGTACATCATAGGCTGGAGAAAAAAAGTATGGAAAGACTTCAGAAAGCCATTTATACCTGTCTGTTATGGCTAAATGTTATTATAACATATCTGAAGATATCGTTGGTGACTGATTTGGGCCTAATCTGTTAAACATTTTGGTGGAATATTTGTTTTTTCTCTTCTCTGTATTAACTTTCTAAGGTTGGAGCACTGTGTTCTAATCGTTGTGGTCTTTTTTTAATGGTTTTGCACCATATAATCAATTTAGACTTTATTTACAGAATTTTGGCTAGAATAAACCCACCCTTCATACTCTGCAGGCATTCAGATGGCACTTAAACCAGAAAAACATAATGTGGAAAGCTGCCATAATGATGGTAATAGCTGTGAATTCTAGTGATACTTTTAGGGATGAAGAAAGTCTTGGCTGTATGATCCTTCCAGTATGTATGTGGATGTCCGGTCCTTGTGTGTGGACTAATCCTTTTCCAAGTCTTCTGTACAGATAAAATTTGACTCAAATCTGAACAGCTCTTTAATAACAGCTATTTTGAAGTCTAAAATCTTTTAGAAACACTGTTTCACCATACAAGAAGTTGACTTTGGCTCAGTTAGTAGAGACCCTGACATCTCAGAAGCACAGAGATCCCATTTCATACCTAAAATAAAACGGGATTTATATTGTTACGCCCTAGCCATAGCCATGTGGTTGGAGACTGCTAAATTCACATGAGAATGCCTGTCTGCTTTCCTTCTGACAAACAACTCTCTCTTTCTACCAGCAATCATTTCAATATAATGTATTTTCAAAGTAATCTTTCTTTGATCAGCAGACTATTTATCATTTTGTAGGTTTTGTTTCCTTCATGGGTGAATACTTCCACCAAATTGCATTTAGTATCTATTAACTTGGATTTTTAAAAGATCAAATGTCTTCCATATCACATTATGTTGTTCCTCATAATTTGTTGTTTCTTCCAAGTTGATACCACTGCATACTTAGAACTTGATTTCTGTTCTGTCATCCTGTCTAAAAACAGAATCCTGACAAGAGGCTTGTCTTACGAAATCATGAACTTCCTGAGAGTGAATGTTATACCCCTCTTTTCTTGAAGGAGGCCTTTCTATTGAATTTTTATTCTTCAGGCAATTCTTTCTAGATACCCAAATCTTTTGTTGTTTACTTTGGGCATCTGTGTGTTCTCAGAACTGGTCTGATGATATGATGAGTTGGATTTTACGTTCAGATCTATCAGTGCATTCTTACACTGTTCCACCTTCTTTTTGGCTCTCTTGGTTCTTTGTCAGAGGTCAGTGTCAACGTTGAAATTTCAGAATGTTGAAGTAAATTATACAACCCAGATTTCTGCTACTTTTTTCAAAGGGTCAGCTTCCCAAAGAAAGAATTGGATAGTTTTGTGATGTTATGGAAGCAACGATGGTGCAAACAATAAGAGGTGTTGCTCATATTCTTAATTCTGTTATATTTCATAAAATATTACTTTTACCCTATTATGTGAGACTTCATCCTAGAGATGTAAATGTTTTTGTGTTTGAAGATGTGCGAAGTAGTCAAGCTACAGCTACTCTGAAAATAAATATACTATGCATTATCATTTAAATACTAATGTCTAGAATTATTTTCTGTGTTGATACAGGTATTTTCTCATCTATATTATGCATAGCTACTGTAAAATTCAAAATACAAAAAAAGACACAATACGGTGAAGAAAGGAAAACCAGAAAAAAAATGGTTTATTTTAAATTGGACTGAATAGAAGAAATTAAAACAAACAAACAAACAACAAACAAACAAATCTGAGTGAGAAACCATTGCTTGTTGTATAAGTATTGTGGATAGATATACTCCCAGTCAGGGTTGGGTGGTGCATATACTTTATTTCCATTGAGGCAGCTTCAGGTTTATAACTGTTTGCATAGAAGGCATCAGAACAATTTGTAGGCTATGTGCAAATGCATGGTATAGGTGTTTTGGCAGACTTGTACAAACTTGAGTGTCTAGCATTAGTCATCAGATCCAAATATGTGTGTGTCCAGTCACAGTGTGTAAGAGTTAACAATATTTTGTTGTGAACATGCAAACAGGGTCCATTACTAGTTATAGCACGTGGACACAAATGCTCCTGTGAGGGCAGAACTGTCCTGTTAGCTATTTCCAAAAGTTTTAAGGTGTATTAATCTTACTCGAAAGTCTATGGATAAACAACAGCTCTCTATAAATACTTATTTAGTTAATTTCTTCAGACTTCAGAACTGATATGGTCTACTCAAATGCACTTTTTAGGTTTCTTCTCGGTTGACCATCATGTTGTTGGTTAGTAGATTGGCACTGCTGAATGGCAATTTGCATTATGATGCTTCAGACCATAAGAGGTTCAGATGAACTTTTTTCTTAAATTCAATCTTTTGGTTTTAATATTGTATTTCTATTTCCCTTTGCAGTGTATCTTTGTAGCATTATACAGTTAAAACTATATGCAAGTTTTATGTTTGTACATGCACACATATATACATGTGTTTATAAATCTATACTGTAGTTTGGATTTGAGGATGATGTACTTGTGAAAGAGTCTGTACTAAAGAAAATCTGAAGCCCTCTATTTG